CTGGTGCGGCGACCACGCCGACTCGCGCGACTTCTTGATGCGCTGCCTGGAGCTGGCCGAGATCGAGGACGACATAATCGAGGACATCGCGGACGCGTGCGAGGTGACGGGCTACTGCCCGGCGGCCCTCGCCGGCGACGGGGTCGTGCTGGAGGCCGTGGCGGAGAAGCTGTTCCTCACGGAGCAGGAAGCGGCCACGCTGATAGAGGTGTGCAGGGCAGAGGTGCCCAAGGCGGGCGGGGGGGCGGCCAGCAGGAAGGCGCTCTCCGGGATCGAGCCCCTGGGCAAGGACTGGGACGTGTTGGGCGACGGCGTGGGCGGGCTGGACAAGGTCGGGAAGGCCGGGGCGCCGGCGAAAGGGCCGGCCGGCGGCTGGCAAGGTGCGTGGCGCAGTTGTTTCAATTTCTTGGAAAAGCTTTTGGGGGGAGGGGTTGATGGCCGTGATGGCGAGCTGTGGGCCAGTTGGCCATAGCGTCCAGGGGAGCGGTCCGCAGGGGGGGGGCCCGTCGGTGCCGTTGGCGGGCTGGCGGGGATCCCACCTGTGAGCCTGCCTGAAGATCTGCTTGGCGAAGATAGCCGCGGGTCAGCAGTGGGCGAGGCTGGGAAGTTCTTCTGAGCGCTGGTTCGAAGCCCGCCGGCGTCTTTGCAGCGGTGGGAGGTGGTGGGGGAAAGAGCTCGCGCGTCTGCGGTCCCCGATCGGGTACCGGCACCGGGGACCGCTCTTGGCGCGGTAGAGGGCTCCGGTGGTGGCGCGCAGCAGGGAATGCTGCCGCGCGCCTGTGAGAGCGGCATGTGTTTGTGCGGGTCGGGCGCGCGGCAAAGCGCGACTGAGCGGCCTGCGCGCCGGCGCGTGTGCTGCCGCAGGTGCGGTCAAGCCCAGCCAGGGAGCGGCGCGAGGCGGGGACTCCATGGCCGCGCGCTTCTTCCCGATCAACAGGTAGGGCTACACGGCTCCTTTGGTGTGCCGTGCTCTCTGCGGTGCCATGCAAGAACCCCGTCCTCTGTCCCTCTCCGCCCCGGGGCTTCCTTGGAGAGGCCTCCCTGTGGGTCCTCGCCGCTCTTGCGATCCATACCCGCCGATTCGGCCCCTCGCCTGTCGCCTGACCCGTGGATCCATCCCCCGCCAGATTCATAGAGTCGAAGGCGCCGCCATTTCAGACCTCCCCGCCCCAATTCAGCAAGCCCGGCTGGGCGGGCGCCAACCTGTCGGGCGGCCTGAGGCCCTTCGGCGTGAAGGGGCCGAATGTGGATGAGCCCAAGGGGGACGCATCTCAGCCCTACGCCATGTCCGCCAAGCTCATGTCCTGGAAGCGCGACTGCGGCGCCACCTCTGGCGCTGGCCAGCTCCAGGGGGTGGGCCCCGCCAAGGGCGGGGACCCCGACGCCGAGCGGGACACCCCGGGCGGCTGGCCGGGATCCGGCGGGCCGGAGGGCCTCAAGGCCTTTAAGCCGCCCGGGGGGGACGTCGGAGGGGCCGATGGGGTTGACGACTCGGCAGGGGATGCAAAGCAGGTGTACACGTTCAGGAGCCAGGGCAAACCGGACGCCGAGGAGGGGCGGTTGTGGAAGCGCGGGGCGTCCCAGCCGGCCAGCTTCTTCTCCCTGCCGGCCAATGGCGACGGGCTGGTGGGCCGCCAGGCCGCCGCCCCGCTGAGCCCCGACTCGTCCGGATCCGACTCCGACGAGGCTGGCGCGGCGGGTCGCTCACCGCCCGCGCGCAAGTTTACGCAGGGGGCGAGCTTCGCGAGCGGCAGGCCGGCGCAGCGCCAGTCCGCGTCGCGGAGGCTGAGCAACTGCGGCCTGCGGCTGTCCAGGCCGCGCGTGCCGAGGCTGAAGCTGCCCCAGGTGTGCAGCCCCGTGAGGGCAGAGGGGGGCAGGTGCCCGGGATCTCATTTGGCGTCTTCCGATGAGTCGGTGGACACGATGGTGACGGGATCCGCCAGGAGCCAGAGCACCGCGGCCAGCGGGCAGGGGTCGGGCGAGATGCCGCGGAGGGGGGTGGCCCATGGCAAGGGGGGGAATCTGATGTACCCGTGGGGGGACGGCGGCGTGGAGCCCTGCGTGCGGGGCGCGACGTGGGATCCCGGGCACGGCGGGGCCAAGGGGGGGAGGAAGGGCAGGCCCAGGCCCAGGAGGTCGCCGTCCATGGATAGCAGGCGGTCCAGCGACTCGGCGTGCACCTGGCGGACGACGTCGGAGGTGGGCGGCGGAGAGTCGCAGTGCGCTGGAAGTTTGCTCCTGTCCTCCCGCCCCCCTTTCCCAACACCCCTTGCTCTTCGTTATCCTCATGTTGCGTGCTCCTGTTGTTGCACTGGAGGCTCCGCATCAGCATTCTGATGTATGGAATGGAGTCTCACACACACTTGTTCAAGATGGACTGCCCTTTGTTTGACCTGTTTCTCTATCTCGCTGTAACGCAGCTTAAACCCCACCCCCTGTGGGCCGTTGTTGGCTGTTTGTGCTGTTCTGAGTTGTATGAGCTGTTGCACTCTGGAGTCCTCCTTGCACGTTGTGGTGGAGAACGTTCATGCAGTTGTCATGCAATGAGCACCTCATGAAGAGCAGGCTTGCTGTGTTAGATAATGAAATTGTTGTGACAGTAGGGAGCTGCACTTGCTGCCACTGGCCAGCATCCCTACTGGCTTGTATGCAGGGTGCAATGAGTTCGCAATGCTGTTCTTCTCGAATCTTGTCTGCAAGAAGCTTTGCAAGGGTGGACTCAAATGCCTGCCCAAGAGTCCACGCGAAGCAACAGACATTCTTGTTGGACAAGAGTCAAGTAGGGTTGTTGTGAGGGAGGAACACAGAAAGAGTTGGAGCTGGAGACCATCTTGTCCACAGCTGCTGACTCCACATTGCCTTTCACATGCAGGGACCACCGAACCTAGCAAGGCTCAGCATTGGCTCATCGCAGAGCAGCATTGTGATGGGATCACTCCCCAGAAGCAGTAGACCATGTTCTGCATCGTTCATGATGCCCACAACGGCATCAAAGGTGGGGCTAGGCATCATCACAAGAGTTGCTTTCTTCTGCATTGCTTCTTTGTGGCATCATCTGCAGGAAGATATCGCTGTTGGGGCCGGGTAGAGTGGTTTGACATCTTGCTGTCAGTTTAGCTACAGTCCAGGCTAGTTGCCAGGCAGAATGCCATGCTGCGACAGCATGTGTTGTAAATATGTCGAGGCATGGTGAAACATCCCCACCTCACTTGCCCCCAAGGTATGCCAATTGCTTAGGCGCAGCTCCCAGGCAGTAAGTGGAAGTGCGGCAGGAGAGGATGAGAACATTCAGGGGGAAACAATGTGCCTGTCCCAAGGCGATGTCTTTCTTAGCGTTTCTGTATGCTGATTGACAGGCGCGAGAAGAGGCCAGAGGGACAGTGACTCCAAGCCCCACAGCTTTCCTCAGGCCAGAAGCCAAGGTGAGCATCAGCAGGGCTGTTGCTGTGTCAATGGTATCAGGCATTCCAATGTGCGGGAACAGAAGTTGGCTATGATTTTGCAGACCGAGTCACTGAAAATGGTGTCACTGTCTTTTTGTGAAGCCGGTACTTGCTGGACGGGTTGTCTGGTCCGTTTTCCCAGCGTATATTGTTCAACAGGGAATAGACAACATGCAGGATTGGGGTCAACTCCCTCCTGCGATTGCAGCCAGAGGCTGGCGTATTGCTGTGTGCAAACAAACTGCTGTGGCAGCACCCTCCATTGTGCTGCTGCTGTTGATCAGATTTCATGGAGGCTCCAGCTAAATAGCTGGCCCTGTGTGTGGTCCCCTGGACGAGTGCCAGCAACATCCTTCAGCCAAAGTGGATACGTGGGCAAGGAAACGAATGCCAAGTATTGAGCCCACTGTGCCTCTCACAGTGTTGAATGTGTTGACAACTTGTAATCTCACCCCACAGGATCAATGGTGTCGGGCTGGAACTAAAAGATGGTGATGACGTTGAAAGCTTATCTATCAATTGGCTGTCCATGGCTGAGGGTGCTACACTCCCCACTGAACAGTATGGCTTTGGTTGTGGCAACGTTTGCTCTGACTCTCATGCACACCAGCCTCTGCCTGGAAGCTTACAGTAGTGAAACCAAGGGAAAAGGTGGGAGATGAGCAAGCGCTATCTTGTTGCGAGGAAAGCAACATCAGCATCACTGTGCGAGCAGGTTTCCCACCAATCCCAAGGAAGAGGTGACTCTGCATGGGGGTCTGTTCATTGGCTTTGCATTTGGTTGGAAACAATCGTCAGTGATGGCTGTCATAACTTGGGGTTGTTATGTTTGCAGGAAGTCAGTCGTCGAGGTTCGCGACGTGGTGCCCACCCCTTCAAGCCGCTCCAGCACCGTCGAACCGTGAGTGCGATGAGTCAGCTTACTGTCCCAAAGGGCCCCAACCTGTCCACGGAGGCTCGCACTCCAAAGCCGGCAGAGGGACCTAAACAGCGGCTGTATGGGTGTGACACACCAGGAAGGTGGCCACGCGTGCGGAGCAGCCCGCGAATTGATGACACGCCAGGGAGGGTTCTGCGTGTGAGAAGCAGCCCGCGAATTGACGACACACCGGGGAGGGTTCCGCGTGTGAGAAGCAGTCCACGAATCGAGACGTCGCCGGCTGGCTCCTGGAAGTTTTGAAGGGTGCCAGATGTGGAGCCAGACTGCCTTGGCAGGCTCGCCGGGGAATAAGCTGGCACTGGGTGCTGGGTTTATGATTGCTGCAGCGCTCGGTGTGAAGGGATTCAGTTGGGACAGGGAACTGCCCTGTTCTCAGCCTTGAGGGCTGGACAGAAGCCTGTTGAAGGGACTGATGGAAGGAAAGGGGGGAGGGGGGCAGAGGCTGGACGCGATCATGGAGGCTCATTGGGTGAAGACGTGGAGCAATTGCTGTGCAGCTCGTTTAGTCGGTGCTGGCCCCAGAGTAATCGCAATAGTATGCTGACAGGTGAACGTCGGCTGCAAGGGTGGCGTTTTGTTGGAACGAGGGGTTGGCTCTACACAATTCTTTTTTCGGTATGGGGATGCTCATATTAGTAGATTGCCACTTTTCAAAGGTTTTATGTGTTGGCAAGCAATGTGGTAAAGATGGTCAGGAAAGAATGCATGTTAGCAGGGCAAAACCACGATCGGATGTGATTTCAGTTTTTTCATCACATTCAAACGACGTACCTAGTGTCACAGGAGAAGGCCACCAGAAGTTGCTCTTCTTTCTTTTTCAGGTCAAAATGGCGTTTGCAGTGAGTGCCAGGCTTGGAGAGGCATGGCAGGGCATGCTTGTGTTTGGTTTAATCACGATTTGGGTTGTGCTTGGTACTGTACAACATCAGCCAAGCTCACAGACATCTGTGCAGTAGGGCAGGGTGGAATGTGTTGTTGAGATTTACAGGATCACGAATTGGGTGTGTGGTGCATTCACAACCGGGAGAGGCCAATTGACCAATTGATGATGCGACCCGATTTTGTGAAAGCCAGTCTTGGGAGGAGCAGATGAACAGCAGGGTTGACAGTACAGATGTGGCCGAAGAAATAGGAATCCCCTCACCTTGGAAAAAGGAATGACTGAAAGGAAAAAGCAAAAAAAAAGAAAAAAAAGTATTTGTTGCAGTGACAATTGCAAATTGGTGTGCGTGAGATCAGCAATCAGCATTGCAGTAATGATGCTGTTTGACAGTAACAGTGTTTAGATGCATATGTTTGGGTGGTCAACATGCATGTAAGTGTCGAGTGCTGGGGATACAAGGTGCTGGGCACACCGATTCTGTGGCATTTTGCGTGCAATGGGTCTGAATGAGAGCCGATTGGAAGGGAGGATCCACTGATCGAATATAGTAGATTGCATTTGGCAGCACGAGTCATGGACAACACAGCCTCATTGCAACCGTCAGTCACACTGCTTCGCCTGATTTTGGTTGGGAAACCGGATGAGCTGTGTTCTTCGGTTTTCTCTGCAAGGAGGCCCCTTATTGGCGCTTGAGGTGTCCAATCGCGGCAGCTGGGTGTGGGTAGTTGGCCACCTGTGTACGCACCTTGAATGCATCAATTGAGCCTTGGCGGCGGTTATGGTAGGGGGTGAATAGCATAGCTGGGCACCCAGCGTCCATTCCTCCAGCACTCGGACGTCTTCATGGGTCAGATATTCTCGGTTTGCTGGTTGTCAGTTTCTGGCAAACGTGTGCCGGATTATGCACACATACATTAAATAGGTAGCACGAATAAATGACGGCTCGGGCGGCCTTGGCCTTGCTGTATGCCGCCGATGGCAAGCATGTTTCTGTTCTCGAAGCAGAACTGCAGCGGCAATAACCAGGAATGACGCAAAAGCACACTCGCATGGGTGGTGTCCTGCAGGGAGATTGTGGGTGTGCCCTCCCAACAAATGCCATCGAGACGGAACGAGAGTGGGCGGTCGACTCTACGCATTGCTGCACGTTGGACCGGGACTTGTTTTACAGCCCATTCACTGCAATAAGGTGGCCTTACCTGCAGTGGGGCTGAAGGTCAAAGCTCACGTTTACAGTTTGGGGTGCCGACTGTTGGCAGCATGAGCCTGCGGCCAAGTAGATCACGCGACTGCTTTGGCCGTTGTTCGTGCAAGGGTATTAACTCTATCTTATATAGATGTGCAGGGTGTGTTTTCTTTGTCTTTTTTGTCTGGACGCGTTGGGCGGGGGTGAGGCAGTATACTATTTCTCTGTACAACATGGTTTGCCTTGTTCAATCAAAGTTCGACCTTTGCCTTGGTAGTTTTGATGGGATATTTTCTTTGCTGCTTTTAACGCCACGTTCTGAGCATCTACGTGCCACCTGCCTCGCATCATGGAAGACACGTGGACCTTCACCACACTATCGCAATGCGAGGCGAATTGAAGCAAGAGTGTCCTGCACATGTCAGGATGGCCGTATTGGGTCTCCGAGCTGGGAGGCCGGCTTTCGAAATTGGAATACGTTCTGTGACAATCGCATGTTGCCTGTTGAATGTGTCGCCTGTGTTGCCGCTCATGCCATAGGTCATCATGCTGTTGACCTGGCATTGAGCTGGTCGTTCTGTTGGATCAACAGCATGGTTTCACTCGTGACGCTCAGTTTGTTCACGGGACATGGATAATTGGCAACCGCTCACCGCCATCAGACTATTTGCGGTCAGAAAGCAACGCGAACAAATCCAGTCTGAAAATTGCCGACGATGCTGATTGCACGCAGCGGACGCCCAAAGAGGAAGTCAGCAGTGCGGATGTGCAATGGTTGGTTGGTAGACTCTGTTTCTGGAAAGTCGTGAAATTTGGCCTCTTAGTGAGTGGAATCATGGGAAGTGTCAACCTTTCGTTGTTTTGAATATAAGCCCAAATTGAATTTGAATCCTAATTGAGTGTAAATCCAAATTGGGTTTTAGTCCATTTTCGATCACCTGATGAACAGCAGTCAGGACATTGTCGATCAGACGGCCACGAAAAGAGGAAACGCGCGCACTCCTCCCTGCGCCACAGACAGTGCATGCGGAAATCCAGTATTTTCGGCTGGGCCACTCCAGTTTCTGCTGAGCCAGAGATGCGAGCATGGCCATGATCTGCACTCAGCGCTGCGGGCGGACACCTAGCACTTGGCAACATTTCCGGTCGCATTCTCCGCCATCCCACCTAGCGCCCCGGAAGCGCCAGTAACTCCCAAGCGCTGAAGCCCAAAACCACCCAAGGCGCATGTCTGCCACCGCGTCACTCCATCGCCCCACAAGTCCGTCCCTGCCGTTCATCAACGCCCCCAGCCACGCGGTCCGTGTACGCGCTCCGCATGGAGAGCGTCTCAACGACTCGTTCTTTGCCCGGAGATTGTGTCCCGCTATTCAGCAATGCACAATAGTCATAAGGATTGACGCTAGGGGGGCTGGCAGATGGCATTACAAATTAGCGAGGCGAAACCCCTTCTTTTCCACCAATATTGCAGGCGCTATAGGAGGGAGCCCCGGAACAACACAAGGCACAAAACAGGAGAGCACATTGTTGGTCCACGCATCGAGCGCAGTGGTCACCCGCGGTGTTCAAGCTAAGCAGACCTTCAGGAAAATCACCAAGAGATATAACAACTAACGAAATCAAATAGAAAACCCCAGAAAGCTAGAAACATCAGGAAATGGCATTAACTATCTTGTTAATAGATTTCCACCCAGGACGACGTTGGGTGGGTTGCGCCGAGTTTCGAATCGGGCGCAGTCGTATTCAAACGGGTTTCTGGCCCTTCCTAGTACCTTGGGTCAGTCAAAGTACGTAGTTTCCAAGGGGCCGCCCGTTTGGCGCCTTGGACTTGGCGGGCTTTGGCGGGGCTGAGCGGGGACGGCTATTTAGGCTCCCCCCTCGGTCCCCCTCCTATCTTGTTTCTGCCTTACCGGTCTCCTGAGCCCACCCCGTCATGTACCCCCATGACAATAATTACAAACACCGTTAACTTTCACATTCCCGAGGTTCCCGTCCTTTAAACTTGCCCATTCGCTTCGCTAGTACTTCAATGCCACTTCAGTGAGTGACTCCCCGTGAGTCAGCTCCCTTTCCCGTACTGCACTCCCTCAACTCCCTCTCCATCCCACAACTAACCCGAAGTTCGCGGAAGTACCCGGAGTTGGCTCCCAGGGCCTGCGCGAGCTGCCTGCCTTCGGAGGTGTGGCGGACGTCGAACCACTCCGGGAAGCGTACTCCCGGAAGTCGGACCACCGGGTTGGTCACCGCTTGCGGTAGGAGCCGGGGGTCGGACAGCCAGACTTCGTCAAGGGAAGCCGTAGGCGGACCGTCGTTGAACCGAACCGCTTGGTCGTGCAGCCACTGCTCGGCCGGAGAACGGTTCATAGAAAGGACTCGGCCGTAGCCGGAGGGACAAGGCACTCGGTGCCTGCGGGTTGTGCCAACGCAGTGGCGCGAAGCGAAACAAGATGAGGAGGGGGACCGAGGGGCTGCCTAAATAGCCGCCCTCCGCCGCCCCGCCAAAGCCCGCCAAACTCGAGGGCGCCCTCGCGGGCGGCACCTCGGAATACCGTACTTTGACTGACCCACGGTACTAGGGGTGGCCAGAAATCCCAAGGGACGGGGTTGAGTAAACCCCAGGTTCAAACTGCACCGTTTGAATCGCCGGTGCAGCCCACCCATCGTCGCCCTTGGCAGAAACCCATTAACAGGGTAGTTAACTTCATTTCGCACCCAGCCCTCCCGCCCTAGAGAGTGGAGTTCGGTTGAATTGGGGGAGAAAACGGGACGGTATGGATGGCAATACGGGAAAAGAGGCGACTCAGGTTTCTGTCACTGGAGAAATGTGAAGTAAAGTATGGGCGAAGCGAAAGGGCAAACTGTTATGAACGGGGACCTCGGGTATGTGGAGTTATCGGTGATGGACACCTTTGTTGTAATGTTTGTCGTGTGGGGAACATGACCGGGAGGGTTCAGGAGACCGGTCAGGTGGAAAAGTGCAAAGGAGCAGCACAGACACTGACCCCAGAAATAGCCAGAAAGACAACCCACCAAAGCCCAACGACCCAGAACTAACAGTGCCACCCAGGGCCAGCCACCTTGGAAAAACCACCTGCAAAGTACGGGGCCAAATGCCCACATCCAGAGGCCCTAGACAAGCAGTGATGTCCGGTAAAACTCAATTCAGCTACCTGAAATAAGGGCGCACAAGCGGCTGCCGCGTATCCAAACGGCCTTCGGGGGGGGAGTAAGATTTGTTACAAAAGAGAAAGAGAAACAGGTCATACACAGGGCAACCCCTCCCAGGCAAGTGTATGTCAGGCTCTGTTCCATGCTGTGAAAAGATGCATCTTTTCATCGATGATATATCATATGATATTATATCATATATATTGTCTATCATATCATGATATATATCATATGATATTATATCATCGATGATATAGAGCCTCCGAAGCAAAGATGAGCACACAACACAAGCAAGTCATAGGCAAGAGGAGCCTTGGTGGGGGTGGTCTGAGCTTAGCGTTAAATTGATGCTAAGCGCACCAATTTCGACTCAGCGTCTTCCCTAAGTGAGCGGCTGTTGATAGCTTACGAATATGGGACCCCAGTTCGGAGATAGGACGGGCTGGGAGGGAATCGTATGCCAACGCCCAGAGTTGATGCGAATTTTAAAGGATCAAAATAGATTTCATGCGCTGACGCGTACGAAGTTTCGAGGTTTTGAAGGGCTATTTTCGGTGGCTGCCGCGACATTTGCGGCGCACAAGGTCGCGTTGCCCGTTTTCGGAGGGGATGCAACGGAACGAACAACAGTTTGTGAAGCTGCAAGCACCTTGCTTGTGTTCTCTGAGTGTGTGGCCTTTGCACAAAGGTCGAGGCGTGTAGCCCAACCAGATTGTCCT